AAAATACATTGTCCGAGCCTATATATAAACATAGATCGATGAGTTTTATTTCTCAAACTAACTATAATCTTTCACATTGCAAACAAAAATTCATTGATAACAACTTAGTAAGAGAATGGCACAAAATGTCAATTTGGAGTTGAGTTTACGTACAAATGCTTCAAGGGTCGTAAAGAAGAAACTCAATGATAGTGACGTTTCTCCAATAAACTCTCGGCTTTATCTACCAAAACTAGAATTTGAACAATTTATAATTCCGGAAATGCCATGGGATTTAGTCGAAAATTTGATAAACACTGTCGAAGTAATAGTAAAAGATGTGACAGGTATTGCTTACCATGTAACACTATTAAAATACTTATCTGGTGACTATTATTTCACGGAAAATTGGTATAAAATCGTCAGAGCAAGAGGTTACAAACTAAACGATGAAATTACATTTTGGTGGGATAAGTCGACTGAAAATTTCTATCTTATGTAATCTTACCTTGTTTTTTTTTCAAATGTAATAAAGCATCTCTCTCTCTTTTTTTTTTTTTTTTAAACTTCATATAATAAAGCTTATTTAATATTTATTTAGGGATGATTACAATATTTTATCATTTTTGTGTGTCTTTATGAGTCAGTCCCAATTTTAAATTGATCATCAGCAATCTGTCTCATTTACCATATTGTTTTTTCATGCAAAAAAATGCTCGACATAGTTTATAATAGTTTTTTGACCAAAAATAAAAAAAAGTTTATAATAGTTTTTCTAAATTCTAATGAAGAAGTGAAAAACCTCTTCCTACACACTCGGACTCTCACCAGCAATGGCTTGTCATCTATGTAAATCCAAACTAAATCTGAAGTGGGATCTGAAACATTTCATAATCAGACTACTTAGCACCGGTCCGTAAATTAAATAAATCGAGTTAATTGATGGTCTTTTTGGATTCAAGGTCGGACTTGCAGTTGGAAAAATATCATATTACATAAGCTGGTTCTGACTTAAGAAAATATATGAA